CTGCCTACTTGGGATCTATCCCTCTGTCAAATAAATAAATAAAATCTTTTTTTTAATATATGGAAAGGGCCCAGATGCCCATCAAGAGATGAAAGGGTAAAGAAGGTATATATATCATAATATAAATCTATGTAGAGATATATGGATATAAAAACAGGATGAATTCTTGCCATTCCAATGACATGAATGAAGGTAAAGGGTATTATGCTAAACAAAATAAGTCAGTCTGAGAAAGACAAATATCATATGATTTCACTCACATGTAAATTCAAGAAACAAAGGAGTGAAGGGGGAAAAGAGAAAGGTAAACAAATAAAAAGACCCAGAACTCTAGAGAACAAGCTTATGGTCACCAGAGGGGAAGGTGTGGGACATGGGTTAAACAGGGAATGGGGATTAAGGAGTACACTTGTGATGAGCACCAGATGTTGAATAGCCACATTATACACCTGAAACTTATATCACACTGTATTTTATCTAATTGGAATTAAAATAAAATCTTAAAAAACAGTTAAGTGGTGACAAATGATCTATATTATGTGCAATGGAAAATTTGTGTAACAAGTATAAAATGCTGTCAAATTACCTCTCTTCAATGACACTGAAATAGGTAGCATAATTCACATTGTGTTTAATTGTTGAAAATGGTTCTCAGTGTAAATGCCTAGAAACATTTTGGAGTTTTGTTATTTTTTTATCTGTATGAATGACCAACGCTGCTATTGATTAACTAATAAAGTAATTTAACTTAATTCTCCTTACAAAAATTAACATATATATCCATAAATATAACACATATACACATATATAACATATAAACATAAAATGCAAAACACTGAACCATAAAGAAACAAATAAATTTAGCGTATTTGAAAGTGGAGAATTCCTAGTTTCAAGCCAATCTCCATTTTAGCTAAGGTTTTGTGAGATTTCATTTCCACCCACAGTAGACAGACATGTTACAGAACTGTGGTGGCTCTGTTATGTTATGATGAACTTCTGAAAGGGGTTCTTCTCTGTTCTTTATGCCACCAGTGGCTCCTAACCATACCCATCCTTACTTGTCTGCACAACATAACTTTGCTGCTTCGAGCTTGTCAGATTCAACCGAATTATAAATAGAAAATGCTTAGTAACCATCAGTGTTCTAAAGCCCATTGTTCCTAATGTACCATTGGTAACGCTATGATACTCACTAATGTGGCTATTTCATTGTTATTTTCATCCATTCACATAAAAGTGATTTAGTACAACATTTTCCAACACTTTTTAATAAGTGTACCAATTCTTGGGGTCCCTTGCTGGGTCAGTGGATTAAGAATCTGACTCTTGATTTTGGCTCAGATGATTTTATATTGACCCCCAATCCTGGTTTTGAGACTGGTGTGGAACCTGTTTAATTTGATTTCTCCCTATTTAGAGGAGAAAAGGGTTAGGGGAAATTGGAGGGGGAGATGAACCATAAGAGACTATGGACTCTGAAAAACAGTCTGAGGGTTTTGGAGAGGTTGGGGGTGGGAGGTTGGGTGAGCCTTGTGGAGAGTATTAGGAGGGCATGTATTGCAAGGAGCACTGGGTGTGGTACATAAACAATGAATTCTGGAACACTGAAAAGAAATTTTAAAAAAATAAAATTTCCTTTTAAAAAGATGATTTCTCCCTTTCCCTTTGCCCCTCCCTCCACTCCTCTAAAGAAAAATAAAACAATAAAAAAGTGTACAGATGTTTATAGTCCCATATATAATAATAATAATAAAACAGTATCGTTTAAAATGGATGTCAGCCTATGTTCTCCTCTGAGATTTTGATAGATTCCTCCCTCATGTTGAGGTCTATCATCCATTTCAAGTTTATCTTTGTGTATGGTGTAAGAGAATGGTTGAGTTTCACTCTTCTACACATAGCTGTCCAAATTTCCCAGCACCATTTGTTGAAAAGACTGTCTTTTTTCACTGTATACTTTTCCTGCTTTCTTGAAGATTATTTGACATCAGCCACAGGAACTTCTTTCAAGACATGTCTCCAAAGGCAAAGGAAACAAAAGTGAAAATGAACTTTTGGGACTTCATCAAGATTAAAAGCTTCTGCACAGCAAAGGAAACAGTCAACAAAACAAAGTGGCAACCCACGGAATGGGAAAAGATAGTCGCAAATCACACTACAGACAAAAGGCTGATATCCAAGATCTATAAAGAATTCCTCAAATTCAACACACACAAAACAGATAACCATGTCAAAAAAATGGGCAGAAGATATGAACAAACACTTCTCCAATGAAGACATACAAATGGCTAATGGACACATGAAGAAATGTTCATCATCACTAGCCATCAGGGAGATGCAAATCAAAACCACATTGAGATACCACCTTACACCAGTTAGAATGGGCAAAATCACCAAAACAGTAAACACTTTGTGTTGGAGAGGATGTGGAGAAAGGGGAACCCTCTTACACTGTTGGTGGGAATGCAAGATGGTACAGCCATTTTGGAAAAACAGTGTGGAAATTCTTTAAGAAATTAAAAATGGAGCTTCCCTATGACCCTGTAACTGCACTACTGGGTATTTACGCCAAAGATACAGATGTAGTGAAAAGAAGGGTCATCTGTACCCCAATGTTCATAATAGCAATGGCCACAGTCACCAAACTGCGGAACAGCCAAGATGCCCTTCAAGGGATGAATAGATAAAGATATGGTCCATATATACAGTGGAATTTTATGCCTCCATCAGAAAGGATGAATACCTAACTTTTGTATCAACATGGATGGGACTGGAGGAGATTATGCTGAGTGAAATAAGTCAAGCAGAGCAAGGGTCATTTATCGTATGGCTTCACTTACTTATGGAGCATAAGAAATAACACGGAGGACATTGGGAGATGGAGAGGAGAATTGAGTTGGGGATAATCAGAGGGGGGAGACAAGCCATGAGAGACTGTGGACATTGAGAGACAAACTGCGGAGGGTTTTGTGGGGGGTGAGCCTGGTGTGTATTATGGAGGGCACTGGGTGTGGTGTATAAACAACGAATTTTGGAACACTGAAAATTTTTAAATTAAATTAAAATAAAGGGGTTCTAGCTTCTTTGCATATTATCATATGTTTTTATCAACATTAGGCATCCATAGAAGTCCACTCAAGTAATCCAGGATGAGGTTTCCTGGACTGGCTACCTGTTTTATTGGTACACCATTCCCGTATTTAAACTTAGCCCTGGAAAACAGTTGTTTCTGTATTCATAAATTTAAATCAAATATATTCAATAACCATGTTTTTATAATAATTCTTTTTTTTAAAGGGGGGAGACAAAGGGTTATAAATTCACTCTACTTGGCTTTCAATCCAGAATTATTTGAGTTAGAATCCTATTAATAATGATTTTTAAAGGGACCTGGTGAAACCAGAAATGCCCTTCACTCTTTCTGTGCTGTGAACACATTCAAGTTTAGATCCCTGAGACTGAGACGTTTTCATGAACGGCACCAGTGGGCAGGACTGAAGTAACAGGGCAGTAACTGAAGCACTTTTCCTTCACCAGAAATGCTCTCTGTGCTCAGGGGAGTACAGAGAGGGGAGTCCTCAACCACCCACTGGGTCCCACTCAAATTTCATACCTTCAGCGAGCAAGAATGTCAAATGGCCCCCTGAGGTGTGCTGCTGTCACAGAAACACACCACAAGGCTATAAAATCTTGAGCATAAACATGTGAAAATGAGATTAAACTAAGTGTACCACTTGCTTCCACGTGTTTAAATGTTCTGTGTGTGGATGTCTCATGATTTGCTTTCTTTTCCTTGTTGCCACATATCACTGTTCCTAACACAGTGATGTGTGTGACTGACGGAGGTTGTGTATATTGGTTTTAGATATTTCTGTGATCACAGCTCCTAACTGAAAAACTGCTTCAGCAAAGTGTTTTCTATCTGTTTCTCTGAAAACAAAACCAAATTATGCTTCTAACAAAGAACCAGTCTAACCTGATAAACAAAACTGATTCATTTCTTGGATAATGCAGATTTGATTTACACATAAGGCACCTCCATGAAAGTAAATTCAACAGAAAGTTCATAAAACACGGTCTTCAATTAACAGATACTTTTAACTGTAAATCACTAAGGGACTTCATATGTGGGTCTGTAACCTGGGACAAAGCTTTCTGAAAGTCTAAAATGAAACAGGAAGACTAGAAATTCTATGAGGGCAGGAGTTTAGTGACTTCGTCTTCCCACTCAATCTCCAGCAGGTAGAACAGGTCAGTATATGTGGGTTCTCCCAGCTGGGAAAGAGTATGCATCGTATGTACTTTTCTTTATTTACTTTTACTTTTCTTTATTTTGAACTGGTCCTCAAGGATGTGCAAGTAGCAAAGTCAAGAACCAGGAAAGGACACCACAGGGGCAGTTGCAGAACTAGAAGGGGAAGCAGGACAGAAAGGAATGCAGAGAAAGAAGTGCAGCTGGAAGGTGACCCTTCACCTTGGACAGCATTGTGTGAGTGGGGAGGGGTCTGGCAGGAAGCAGGCAGGACTCCTGGAGTTTATTCCCAGGGCAAAAATAAGGAGAGAGATGCACTTGAATAGAGAGCTACAGCCACCTCCCTTCCACATGCAAGCCCAACAACCCCACTGGCAAGCAGTACAGTAGGCCCAGCTGAGCAAGAGCTCTGAGGCTGGAGGAGAGCAGCAGGAGTCACAGGAGCATGAGCCTTGGGGCAGTTGGAGTGGTTCCTGATAACCCACCATACAGGCATCCTGAGCCCCTCCAGCTGGTATTAGGACCAATGGCTCCCTAGACTGGGCCTCTGAGCTGCCCTGCCCAGTTTCTGCAGAGCTACACCTGTGGCCTGGATGGGCTTGGGTGGTGTGAGGACAATGTAGCTGAGGAGGTAAGTGTGGGCTGGAGTGAGAGCCCAAGGCTGGTGCCATGGATTGCCAGGAACTATTGGACAGAGAGCTGGCACCTAGCCCTAGTGGGCCCTCCAGGCCAAGGGATGGTGGGGATGGGGTCAGCACCCATTCCTTCTCTCTTCAACCTGGAGGTGCACTGGGTTTCCCATGCCTGTGATGCCGAACTTGTCACCCCCTCAGGTAGGGCATGTCCTGAGTGAGAGGAAACCAGTCATCCCTGGGGCTGGGTGGAGGTTATGGGTTGACAACTAGAGGTACTGAATGACCCTCAGAATGCCAGACTGGTGGTGGGCATTTGGCTGTTGTTTCCTATTATGACATGTATCCCCCTTCTGCCCACTTACCCCCACAGGGAAAAATATCTAGTGTTCCAGGACAGGGATTCTGCAGAGACACCCAGGAGCACTTAATCACCTCACAACCACTTCCTCTCTGGTCCAGACCCCCAACTTCTGACAGGTGCCCAGATCCGAACAGAGAAAGTGCTCAAGGGGTGGAGAATATTCCAAGTATCTGTGGGGGATTAACCAGTTTGTCCCCCACACCAGTAACTGTACCAGGGGTGCACTAGCTGAAGCCTCCCTTCCTGTCCTCTGGGGAGATGGGCAGGACAGGAAGCCAGAGGACCTGGGTATACCTGGGCCAGCACCACAGTTACCTGCCTGATGGGTGTGAGCATTTTCTAGGGATGGAAGAACTCTTCTGGGGGTTATCTTCTGCCTTTTACAGACTCTAGTCATTGATTAAAGTTCATGGAATGTGTTTTCTCTTACCTATACCTTTATACACTTCCAGATATTCTGACTCTGTTTATGACCTCAGGTGGAAATAGAATAAAAGAAAAGTCTGGTCATTGTTACTATTGAGAATACTGCCTGTCATAACCAGATGCACGCAGCCTGGTAACTACAGGAAATAGGGACACTTCCATGCCCAGAACTCACACTTCAGGTTTGTTTGGTCTCCACTAGGTTTGCCACTGTCTTCTGGTTGGAGCTGTTATAGAAAGTGCTGGGGAGAAGCTCCAGTTTCAATTCTTAGCATAAATAAGTGCTATGGGGCATCTGCAGCTATTTTCAAGTTCATACTCTTAACTCAAAAAAGAATAATAAAAAAAAATAAAAATAAAAAGGATAAAGTGGCAAATAGTTGGTGGTATTTGGAGTTTGTTTATGGGTCTTGGTAATACAGAAAATGAATGCATTTTAGTCTTTACCAGATGATAGAAATGCCAACTTCACTTGCTCCTCCTGGAACCCTAGAAACAGAAGAAAGGGTTGAAAGAGGAGAGATCTCTGGAGCATCCAGATGGATTGGATTCTGATGTACTAGGTGGAAAGAACTGTTAAGTAGAAAAGAGAAGCTTAAAATTGCTATTGAGGGAAGACATACAAATGGCTATCAGACACATGAAAAAATGTTCATCATCACTTCCCTATGACCCTGCAATTGCACTACTGGGTATTTACCCCAAAGATACAAATGTAGTGAAAAGAAGGGCCATCTGCACCCCAATGTTTATAGCAGCAATGGCCACGGTCGCCAAACTGTGGAAAAAAACCAAGATGCCCTTCCACGGACGAATGGATAAGGAAGATGTGGTCCATATACACTATGGAGTATTATGCCTCCATCAGAAAGAATGAATACCCAACTTTTGTATCAACATGGACGGGGCTGGAAGAGATTATGCTAAGTGAAATAAGTCAAGCAGAGAGAGTCAATTATCATATGGTTTCACTTATTTGTGGAGCATAACAAATAGCATGGAGGACAAGGGGAGTTAGAGAGGAGAAGGGAGTTGGGGGAAATTGGAAGGGGAGGTGAACCATGAGAGACTATGGACTCTGAAAAACAATCTGAGGGGTTTGAAGCGGTGGGGGGTGGGAGGTTGGGGGAACCAGGTGGTGGGAATTAGAGAGGGCATGGATTGCATGGAGCACTGGGTGTGGTGCAAAAACAATGAATATTGTTATGCTGAAAATAAAAAAAAAAAGAAATGCAAAAAAAAAAATAATGGAAGACCGTTCCATGCTCTTGGATCAGAAGAATAAACATTGTTAAACTGTCTGTACTTCCTAAAGCAATCTATACTTTTAATGCCATTCTGATCAAAATTCCACCAGCATTTTTCAAAGAGCTGGAGGAAACAATCCTAAAATTTGTATGGAATCAGAAGAGACCCCGAATTGCTAAGGAAATGTTGAAAAAGAAAAACAAAACTGGGGTATCACATCACCTGATTTCAAGCTTTACTCCAAAGCTGTGATCACCAAGACAGCATGGTACTGGTATAAAAACAGACACATAGACCAGTGGAACAGAGTACAGAGCTCAGATATGGACCCTCAACTCCATGATCAAATAATCTCCGACAAAGCTGGGAAAAATATACAGTGGAAAAAAGACAGTCTCTTCAATAAATGGTGCTGGGAAAACTGGACAGCTATTTGTAGAAGAATGAAACTCGACCATTGTCTTTCACCGTACACAATGATAAACTCAAAATGGATAAAAGACCTCAACGTGAAACAGGAATCCATCAGAATCCTAGAGGAGAACATAGGCAGTAACCTCTTTGATATCAGCCACAGCAACTTCTTTCAAGGTATGTCTCCAAAGGCAAAGGAAACAAAAGCGAAAATGAACTTTTGGGACTTCATCAAGATCAAAAGCTTCTGCACAGCAAAGGAAACAGTCAACAAAACAAAGAGGCAACCCACAGAATGGGAGAAGATTTTTGCAAATGACAGTACAGACAAAAGATTGATATCCAGGATCTATAAAGAACGTCTCAAACTCAATACACACAAAACAGATAATCGTGTCAAAAAAAAAAAAAATGAGCAAAAGACCTGAGCAGACACTTCTCCAATGAAGACATACAAATGACTATCAGACATAGGAAAAAATGTTCATCATCACTAGCCATCAGGGAGATTCAAATTAAAACCACATTGAGATACCACCTTACACCAGTTAGAATGGCCAAAATTAGCAAGACAGGAAACAACGTGTGTTGGAGGGGATGTGGAGAAAGGGGAATGCTCTTACACTGTTGGTGGGAATGCAAGTTGGTGCAGCCACTTTGGAGAACAGTGTGGAGATTCCTCAAGAAATTAAAAATAGAGCTTCCTATGACCCTGCAATTGCACTACTGGGTATTTACCCCAAAGATACAAATGTAGTGAAAAGAAGAGCCATCTGTACCCCAATGTTTATAGCAGCAATGGCCACGGTCGCCAAACTGTGAAAAGAACCAAGATGCCCTTCAATGAAAGAATGGTTAAGGAAGATGTGGTCCATATACACTATGGAGTATTATGCCTCCATCAAAAAGGATGTATACCCAACTTTTGTATCAACACGGATGGGACTGGAAGAGATTATGCTGAGTGAAATAAGTCAAGCAGAGAGTCAATTATCATATGGTTTCACTTATTTGTGGAGCATAACAAGTAACATGGAGGACATAAGGAAATGGAGAGGAGAAGGTTGTTGAGGGAAATTGAAAGGGAAGATGAACCATGAGAGACTATGGACTCTGAAAAACAATCCAAGGGTTTTAAAGGGGTGGGGTTAAGATACTGGGGGAGTCAGTTGGTGGGTATTATGGAGGGCACGTGTTGCATGGAGCACTGGGTGTGGTACATAAACAATTAATTCTCTTATGCTGAAAAGAAATAAATTTAAAAAATGAAAAAAAATAATATATTAATTGTAGGGGACCTCACAGTCCATTAACAGCAATAGACAGATCATCTAAGCACAAAATCAAAAAAGAAACGGGAACATTAAATGACACAGTGGACCAGATGGACCTCATACATTATACAGAACATTTCACCCTAAAACAACAGAATACTCATTCTTCTCGAGTGCACATGGAAATTTCTCCAGAATAGAATACATACTGGGTCACAAATAAGGGCTCAACAGATACTGAAATACTGGGATTATTCCTGACATATTCTCAGACCACAATGCTTTGAAACTGGAACTCAATCAAAAGAAAAGTTTTGGAACAAATTCAAACACTTGGAAGCTAAAGACCACCCTGCTTTAGAATGTTTGAGTCAACCAGCAAGTCAAAGAATAATTTAAACAATTTATGGAAACCAATGAGAATGAATACATATCAGTCCAATACCTATGGGATATGTCAAAGGCAGTACTAAGGGGGAAATAAATAACAATACAAGCCTCACTCAAAAAGAAAAAAAATTGAAAAATCCCGAATACTCCAACTCCCTTTACACCTTAAAGAACTGGAGAAGCAACAGCAAATTGAGCCTAACCCACACAGGAGAAGGGAAATAATTACGATTAGAGCAGAGATCAGTGAATTAGAAACCATAAATACACTAGAACATGGCAAAGAAACTAGAAGCTGGTTTTTTTAAATTTTTTTATTTTTTCAGCGTAACAGTATTCATTATTTTTGCACCACACCCAGTGCTCCATGCAATCCGTGCCCTCTCCAATACCCACGACCTGGATCCCCCAACCTCCCACCCCCCGCCCCTTCAAAACCCTCAGATTATTTTTCAAAGTCCATAGTCTCTCATGGTTCACCTCCCCTTCCAATTTCCCTCAACTCCCTTCTCCTCTCCATCTCCCCTTGTCCAGAAGCTGGTTTTTTGAAAGAATTAAGATCGATAAACCACTGGCCAGACTAATCCAAAAGAAAAGAGAAAGGACCCAAATTAATAAAATTATGAATAAAAGGGGGAGATTATAACTAACATCAAGGAAATAGAGACAATCATTAGAAATTATTATCAATATATTTGGCTATATACCAAAAAGTTAAGCAAACTAGAAGAAATTGATGCATTCCTGGAAACCTATAAACTTCCAAGACTTAAAAAGAAAGAAATTGACAACCTGAATAGACCAGTAACCAGCAAAGAAATTGAAGCAGTAATCCAAAACCTCAAAAATCTAGACTCCAGGACCTGATGGATTCCTGGGGGAATTCTACCAAACATTCAGAGAAGAAATAATGCCTATTCTCCTGAAGCTGTTTCAAATCACAGAACAAAAGGAAAACGTCCAGAATCTTTCCATGACGCCAGCATTACCTTGATCCCCAAACAAGACAATGACCCTATCAAAAAGAATTACAGAAAAATATCCCTGATGAACATGGATTCCAAGATTCTCAACAGTATATTAGC